CGATGGAGCAAAGCATAGCCCAAAACGATTGACAGCCAGTGCTAATCGGTTCAGTGCTGTTTGGCATGTTTGGAGGCTGTCACAGATTAGGGCAATGTCAAGAAGTCGCTCACCAGGGAGTAGCTCCAAATCTTCTATGTCGTGTCCAGCGAACGCTGTTTCTGACTTCATCAATAGCGAAGTTGAAGAGGAAAGGTGACAGCGGGCATCCTTGTCTCACACCGCTGGTGATACTGAAGGGTGGCGAGAGTTTGCCATAAACACTCACCCTGCCCGAACTATGTGCGTACAGCGCTTTGATAATGTTTACATATTTATTAGGCACACCTTTCCTCAGAAGACAGTCCCAAAGGGCACATCGATCGACTGAGTCGAAGGCACCTTTTGTGTCAAGAAACACGACAACGGTGGGTCGTCAATAAACATGGCGGTGCTCCAACACTTGACGCAATGTGAAGATGTGGTCGATGCAGCCCCGACCTCGACGAAATCCGGCTTGCTCTTCACGAATCTGGCTTTCACGAGTGCCAGTCAGTCTGTGGAGAATGAGAGAGGCAAGCAATTTAGAGGCAATCGAAATCAGACTGATCCCTCTATGATTGCCACATTCTAAACGGGAGCCTCCCTTGAAAATTGGGACAATGACGGAGCGGTTTCAGTCTGTCGGGACTGTCTCCTGCTCCCAAAGTTTTACTAGCAACTCGTGTAGATCATCTACTAGAGCAGGTCCACCGAATTTGAAGAGGGCTGGAGGAATTCTATCTGCTCCTGCGGCCTTATGCAATTTCAACAGCCTGACCTCACGTTCGACTTCTGCGCGTGAGGGCGGATCCAAGGAGATGGCCCAAGGAGAAGGACGCTCAATGCCAGAAGAAAGCGATAACTCAGGTTGGTTAAATTGCATAGCAAAGTGTTCAGCTCAACGCTCCAAGCGTTATGACAGACTGTGGATCGGATGCCCACTCTCCTCTCGTATGGTCTCGCTAACACCAGGTCTCCTGCTGCCTGTTTCCCGTATCAGACGGAATAACTTACGATGATTACCAATGGCAGCGGCTGTTTCCATTGCAGAGGCACGATGAGACCACCAGGTTTCGCGGTCCTTCTTTAGACTAGCACGTAGTTTTGCCCTGAGATTTTTGCGAGCTTCACTGTATTCGCTTCCAGCCGGAATACGTAGACGGGCATCCAAAAGTTCCAGAGACTGTGTAGAAACCCAATGTCCGGTTTTGCAATTTGTTTTGCCACATGAAGACATGCCTGCTAATAGCAACGCTTGACGAGTATGCGACCAGTGATCTTCAACGGTGTTTAGTGGGCGCCTACTCAGCCCAGATGTCAGCGCACTATGGTACACATTCAGAACATCTGGCTTCGCCAGCTGGCTAGTGTCAATCCGTTCACATCGACGTCGCGGACGTCCACCGAAACGCACCAGGAGGTCGGCACAGACAAGTGCGTGGTCAGAGTCCACACTCGTGCTCCAAATCGAGCGAGAATTTTGGACACAGCCTCTCCAGCGGTAACTGATCGCGATATGATCGATTTGCGTCCATGACTGGCCCGAGGCTGGTGGCCGCCAAGTCACACTTCTGCGGGTGCTGTGTCGAAAGTTAGTGCTCGCGAGAAACAGGCGAGCATCTTCACACAGTTGTAGCAATCGCTCACCATTATCATTACGGGAGCCTACACCATGTTGGCCGCCCAGATGAAGCTCATCAGAGGACAATTTTCCGACTTGGGCGTTTAGATCGGCAGCCAGCACCACAGTATCCGTGCTTCTTCTGTAACGAAGGAGCTCGTGAAGTTGCTGATAGAAATCATCTTTTACCGAATCAGTGCTACAGTTTGTAGGGGCGTAGGCCGCAATGACAAACAGGCACCGTTTGTCCCCGCGCGACTTCGAAGCACGGAACGAACCAGCTAATCTAACGGCACACATCCTACTGTTTACTGGGATCCTATCAAGCAGGGCAGCTTCAGCCCGGGGACTCAAAACAATGCCGACGCCAGCTTGATCGGCAATTGAAGCTGCATCATCGCCAGATAGGCGCAATGAGAATGTGCCGCCAGTGTCGCATGTGGGGGATCTCAGGGTAAGCACGGAGCTCGAACCTTGCAGACGGGTTTCTGATAAACAGCAAATATCTATCGATAGGGTCTCTAGTGTGCGGGCAAGTGCTGCCTGTTGGCCAATCTGCAGCAAAGTGCGCACGTTGAGGCATGCCAGTCTTAGCGAGACACGAGGACTCCAAAGGGAAACGGATGAACTGACGTTGTCCGCTTGGTTAAACATGGACTTGTCGACTGGATTGGAGCGAGGCCCTGCGATTGTGTGTGATTTGAAATTAGAAAACAAGCGACTATTGAAGTAAGCTGGGGGAGGGCCAAGAATTGGGGGATTGAAAATGGGGGGATATAAGTAAAGTTGGAGCAGGACAATAAGGATGCAGAAGCGCAAGAAGGGGTATAAGAAGACGGGAAGGCCTGAGCAGTAGCATCCAAACCCCTATCCACCCTGCTCGATGCAGCAGATAGGGCGCCGTTTATTATCCTCTGCGACGGCCAGAGCATCAAGAAATTGTTGTAGGAAAGGTTCATTGTGTTGCGTGGGCAGAATACTGTCAGGTTGCCCGGGCCTAGACAGGAGAACGATTAGGGTCCTCAACCAAAGCCTTTGGTTCAAAAACTTTACTGCAAGGCAGCGGGTTTGGCAGCGGGCTACAATGAGTCCGTTTTATGAAATGAGGAGCCACCCCCATTCCAACCCCCAACCTGGAGGACCAGGAGGCTGAGTTTGTCTGGCCTCTAACCATTGACCAATCTGGTATGAGTGGCTCTGGAGGTGCAAAAAAAGCACCACCCAGCATAGCTCAATGGATCTCTGAGGCACGCAAACCATCGCACCACGGTAAGGTCCAGCCTCATTGCGATGGACAATAGCCAGCTGTTTGTGACGGTATGCTGTCCGCACAAGAGGTAGGAGCCTTGACCCTGAATGTTTGCTTAGGGTATTAAGGTTTGCCGGTAATCTCCTTCTCTCCCTCGTTATTCTTTATTTCGTAGGTCATCATGGTTGTATGGCAGCGAGGCAACAGTTCAAATGGCTGATGTACTGCTGTTTGGTGATGGTGTTTTATGATGAGGCTCGTTAGGCGGAAGCCTATACCGTCCCGGGAACATGACCTGACCTAACAAATGATGGTGGTACTGCATACACACCCTCCCGCTTTACGTTGAGCTGCAAAGTATTTGATGGCCTCCTGTAGCTTAAAACCTGTCACCCAAAAGCAAGTCCGGCCGTACACTGACCCCAGAATCTTTCAGCTTGAAGACGAAGCGCAGCAGCGCTTTGGGTTTGTCCGATGTAGAAATAATTATGCGCAGTAGACGAGACAGATTTAATCGTAACTCCGACTGGTACCCCCCCTATTAGCCCCATCGGTCATTCTAGCGCCCGATACCGGACACATCGAGTGGTCGGAAAATATAGTCATGTTATGTACAGATGAAGTTAATTGTAGGTGTACAATTAAAGAGCGGGAAACGTGGTTACAAAAAGAGCAGAACGGTCTGCGTAGAAAGAATCTGGTCCGAAAATTACTTAATGTCGCTACGTACGTAGTGGCAACCTAATACGAAGTAGGTATACCGCCAGATGGTCGGCCGGTGGCCGAGTGGTCTGCACGTTTACTTTGCAACCATAAGGTCACCGGTTCGAATCCGCGTAGGGGTGGGCGTCCTCGCGTTATACTCAGCCCGCGCGCGACTGGTGGTGGTCGTGCGGCAGCGAAGCGCCGTTACGGCGTACAGCTGACACATTATTAGTATTATTATTATACCGCCAGATGGGTGGAATTGCAGTACTATGTAGTCAGTGGTGGCGGGAGGATCAACGCAAAATCTGCGAAAATCGAGCGTTGGAATGCGGTCCGTTTAATTTGTTCGGCGAGCGCTCGATGTGCGACACAATTTTTCGCCAATCGGACGCCCATCGGGCGATCATCCGGCACCCATCGGACACACTATGCGCACGTCGGACACTGAGGCCATTAGGGAGGTTCCCATATCTGATCTGTAGCCGGTCCGCGGGCGTCACGGTAACATGTTAGCAGGTAAGAGGTCCATCGGTTTTCTCTACCTGTTATCTTTACCTTCCTATTCCCCACCGGCACTTTCCCTTCCCTCTTCCGTGCTTCCTTAGCTGCCACCTTTACATCGGCCTCTTACTAGGCGGCTCGAGCGTACAGCCGTCTACGAGGTATTTATTTTGCGTTGCAGCTTGCCACACTACTTGGACACGGTAGATCTTGGATCGCCAGACCGAAGGAATATTACATATTTGGCGACCCTGCCGGTTCCCGATAGCAGTCCACGAAGCTAGATTGTAGCCCTTGAAGCAATAGCTAACTTTCTTCTATCGTACTGCTTATCGTTGAATCTCCCGAGCCTAATATACCGCGCTCAATGCCTCCTGCAGGTACGTAAAGTGATGCCGGTATAGACCATTATGGGCGCTGAGGACAGCGCATGCTAAGAGGGGGGATAATGTAGCCGGTCCGCAGGCGTCACGGTAACACGTTAGCAGGTAAGAGGTCCATCGGTTTTCTCCACCTGTTATCCTTACCTTCCTATTCCACTCCGGCAGTTTCCCTTCCCTCTTCCGTGTTTCCTAAGCTGCCACCTTTACATCGGTCTCTTACTAGGCGGCTTGAGCGTACAGCAGTCTACAAGGTAATTCTTTTGCATTGCAGCTTGCCACACTACTTGGACACGGAAGATCTTGGAACGCCGGACCGAAGGGATATTACAGGAACCAAAGAATAAGGCATATTACCAAAAACTGCCAGCCGCAATCCTTAAAAATTATAGTAGTGATTACAGTGAAGAACTTGTAAATTGGAAAGCTATGCGGGACATCGTGCGAGAAAAAAATGAAACTACTTTAGGAAAATAAGAAAATATTGAAATGGTAAACGGTATATTCGATGCACACTTACTGGTTTACACTTTTCGCCATCCAGTTTCCCATCCACGGGGACCAACCGGTCGAACATTGCCTCATACTTTGCAACATCTGATGAGGGAATCCCATGCATCGCACTCGCCTGAGTACAGCCAATCAAGGTTAAGCAAGCGTTTTCTAGGTCGACGTAAACATAAAGTATACCTTCAGATGTGTCTGGAAAATAGGGAAATATTATGAGTAGTCCCGCAAACGCGGATTGTTGAGCCAGCTATTATTAAGTGGCTCTGAACTCCTGATGTGCATAACAGGAAACATCCGAACTACAGTCGGCTGCTCCGAACGATCGCCCCTCATTTTCCCTAATTGGTAAACTTCGCTGTTTCCTGTTGAGTAACTAAAAGGTGAGCCAATAATTAGTAAGTCACAATGCCATGTGAAAAGAGGCACAAACCACTGAGCAAAAGAAGGCGCTGAATGCATTCGAAATATAACCATGTTTATGATCAGGGAATGTTATCGAGCCGCAACCAAGGATCGTCCAGCTGACCCACAAAACTCTCTACCGCAAGTATTCCGCCACCTTAACTGGAGGCTAGTTGTGTGGCCGAATAACCCTGCTTGCTAACCACATTTCGCTGCAAGCTGTTCATAACGCTGCTTTTGCAGCGCTACCTGGACGAGTGCAGAAACCGGAAAACTTGGTAGATCAAAATATCCAAAACTAGATCGTCGCAGCCTCCACAATTAAGATACAGTGAGACCTACGTATCCTGGATCCAATGGCCCGCTGGCTGGCCTAACAAGCGCCACGTAGTGCATGCTGGTTGGTTCGGGTTTAACTCGTACCAGCAAATGGTGTGGCCGCAGCGCTACAGGACGTGTGGGTTTTCGCCTCGCCGGCGTTCGCCCTACCAAGAACCAAAAATGTCTGCTTACTAGGACTGTGACCTGGCGGCCGTGACTCGCCACATAATAGAGTCACTGTCCCGTGGATATCCGGATAATACTTTCCAACCCACGAGCACCAAATTTCTACTCGCACCTTGCTGACAATATCAAACATTCAGGAATATAATAGCACAATTACAAGCACAAACTACATGGCCACATACACACACAAGCACATAGTTACGAACACCCATACAAAAATTGTTATGGCAAACCTACAGATAAATAAACAATCTACTCTCGAATTTATCGAGGCACAACAAATCACGCGTGAGCAAAATTTACAAGCAGTTATGTTGCGCATCAGACGCGTTGTTATGTGTGCAATCGGCAGTGGCCGAAATTTGTACAAGCTGCAGAAATTTAACAAATAATCATGAGGAATAAAATCGTCAATGGCTGCTGACGCTTTTGGTTTAAGTGTGCGTAGTGCAAACATTCAGAGCGATATAATTATAGTGAAAAGGGTAGAGGTGGTCAGCGAGTATCCTATTTTCCTACGTGTCAAGCAAAGATTAAAAATGGCGCTAATCGACTTGCCAGTATGCAGTTGTGGGCAGTGACTTTATTCTCTGACTTGTCACATCCGCTAAATCTCATGGTTGTTAAAGCGGCCTTAGTGGCTTTTATAGGGAGAAAGCTTGCCAAGCGAAAGTCCACCACGTCCTGGTACACGGCAGCAAATAACGTTGAATACCAATGAACAACTGACAAAGCATTTTGCCGACTGATTTTGCACAAGGTTATTCCAGCCAGCTGGCTTCCAATCTCCTCTGTTGGCTGAGCAAAGAGCTTGGGCACGGCCACCATACTCGATGCGACTGGTCGAGGACGGTAAGGTTACGAAGAGTCACTTTGTTAAGCATCAAGGTGAGCAAAAATTTTAGGGTTTCTGGTGTCTGGATTTTTCAGCTAATGTATCCATTTCGGGCGTGGGAATACCCCGTGTCCAGCTATCCACTTTGGATTACGGTCTTGGTGGTGAGTGTAATTGATTCCCTTTGGTGTACAGCCATGCTCCGTGTAGGTTAATGACAGTTATTAGTTCGGTCTTGGGCGAAAACGCCGTTCCTCAGTCCTATCCCAGGCCCCCAGGAACTTCCGGACCGCGGAGAAGGGAGAAGTGAGGGACAGCCGAGAGAAGACCGCAAAGAACATGCGTGAAATTAAGCGTTGTTGTGTTGTGTGCAATAACATTTAGGGATGAGGCAAAATGAGGCACAATGCGCGACAATGATTGTGCTGAAAAATTTTTCTACATGCTACAGAAAACAATGGTCATATCGGTAGATAACTACCAGCTACGCAGAGAACAGAGGGTTGTGCCAGAATGCAATCCACGAAGTATCAGTTTACTATGATGCAATTATTGCTTGGGAAACGAGAAAAGTAAGTTAGGAGACTGGCTACGTTTGAATGGTGAATGAACAATTGGTAGCCAGTCTAGTACGACATGGAGCGCAGAACTAGTGAGTAAAAGTATAAGTAGCTTGAGAGGAGACGGATTCAAACGGCACTTGATGGTAAAGCACCAGGATGATAGGACTCATGCGAGGAATACAAATATTCATGGGATCTAGGCAGATAGACGACACGTGGTGCTAATAAGATAGTGCTACGGCCGACTGCGCTGGGAAAAGCCAGTGAGAGCGCTGGCCTCCTACTTGAGCGAGCATGGAAACCGTTGCTGCGGGACGGAAACAAAACCCCCACAAATGAGCGAGTGTAGGTTGGTCAGGTAAGAAAAGATTGATCGATAGAAGAGAGCTAAAAGGTTCAATTGAAAGAATGCAAATGGTAGAAACGAAAGTATACATTAAGGTTGCTGCGGAAGTCACAACGTATGAGACAGAAGCGCAGCGTCGAGCAGAGGCACAAGTCATTCTAGGGTGCTAAGGGAATGGTACTAAGATATGCTACTCCAGGAAATGCCACGGCGTGGGCTGGTCTCCTACCTGAGTCAGTGTCGCAGACACAGCAGCGAGAAAGGGATAACCAAACACCACGAAATGAGAGGATATGGGGATTTTTGGGTTGACCAGATGAGATAGTATTTATGGCTGGAACGCTAAGCAAGGGTAACTGAAGAAATGGCAGCAAACCGGCGAAATATAAGCCTACATTAAGGTTGCTGATGACATCACTGCACCATAGGCAAAAGTCCGACAACGCGCACATAATCGTCCTGCTAGGGTGCTGGGATAGTAGTACCAAGATGGATTGAGCAAAGGAAGACTAGTACGCTAGCGGGTGGCTTGGAGGGGAAGTCGAGGAGGCTGCAACTAGTGTGCGATCAATGAACATCTAGAAAGGAGAGGCTAAGAAGCGGCTGTTCGCTGACTACCTGAGTCATGTTTTCTCACTAGAAGTGAGCTAACAATGGTTGCACGCTGAAAGCACAGCGAACGGGAGTAGCGCAAACATACCGTTGGTTTGTTATATACGTCAGAACACAGGGGGCCAAGGCGCAGCAGCGCGCAGATACTATGCCATGCTGGAGTGCTAAGGGAATAGTACTAAGGTGGACTAAGCCGGGAAAAGCCAGGTAGGGAGCTGGACTCCTATATAAGTAGGCGTCACAGACGTTGCAGCGGGTAATGGAGGTCTAAGCATCTAGCAAGGAGAGGCTAAGAGGCGGCTTTGCGCTGACCTACGGAGATAAGGAAGGTCGCCAGAAAGGAGATAAGAAGGCGAACTGAAGGAAGGAAAGCAAACAGGAAAATTGTAAGCAAAGATTATGTTTACTGAGGAAGTCAGGTCATTTGAGACAGAAGCGCAGCCGCTCGTAGGTACTCAACGCATGCTAGGGCGCTGGTATAAAGGTACCATGCATAGAGCCAAGGGACGTTACTCCGAGAGCTGGACGCTTACAGGTGGAGGAGTCGAATACGTTACTACGAATGTGATAGATGAACGGCTAGGAAAGAGAGGTTAAGGGGCAGCCGTCCATTGATCTGATGAGATACGAGAGACTGCTAGAAGAAAGCTAAAGCGGTTAAACAGACAGAATGTATTCGCACGTTAACCTTACTGAGGACATCGCAGCCTATGTGACAGAAGGGCAAGTGCGCGCGGATACTTTAGTCATGTTAGTCTGCTAGGGGAATAGTGCTAAGGTAGACTGAGCCGGAAAAAGCCAATGAGAGCTGGACTCCTATATGAACAGGTGTCAGAGGCCTTGCAGCGAGTAACGGATAAATGAACATCTAGCAAGGAGTGGCTAAGGAGCGGCTGTGTGCGGACCACGAGTTATGTTTGCTCTACAAAAGTGAGCTAAGGTTTCTTGGCTAAAGGACTGTGAACGGATGGAGCGTAAGCATACATTGAGGTTGTTAATGACGTCAGAGCATAAGAGTCTAAAGCGCATTGTTAAGTCAGAAAGAACAAGCTAGTAAAGACCTGCATCGCCTTGTAGAAAATAAAAGTTTTATTTATGTATTTATTTAGCTGGTGCATTGAATGCACCCAAAATTTTAGGTTTTCTTGAAATCGCCAGGCTCACAAAATAGACAAGGTTAAAAGTTATCTAGCTACTTTTATAAAATAAGTGACATACTATAAACGTTTGCTGCTCAGCAACGCAGGGCATGCCTTTACCGGCATGCTCAAGTTGTGCTGTATGGAACTAAATGTGTACAAACATACAAACTGCTTGGCATAACAGTGAATATGTGCATGCATGTGTGTAAGCAAATAAATAACTGATTTATTACCGACGGTACGTGGTACGCTTTCAAAGTCACTATCGCGGTAATACAAGTGAGTGACAACAGTAATGGTACAGAAACGTTCCGATTTAACAAGTACCAACTGGATTTACCTGCGTACGTATGGTTAGTATCTATGTAGGTGCCTGTGTAAGCCATCGTGGTGTGTGAATTTGTTATGGTTGCCGTAACGTTGAGAGTTTGTTCGGTGAGTGTGCCAATATAGGAAGGGAGCGGGTGAACTATTTAAAGTGGTACACAGTCGCGAAACTTGTAAGATTCTCCGGTATGGCAAGGCAGTAGCTTTATTAAGTGTCAAACCATATCCGCCACGTCACGCTGTTGTTAAGCAAACAGTTGTGGCATTCCTATGCAGAACGCTTGCCAGACGAATACCCACCAAGTTCTGGAACACCGCCGCCGAACTGCTAGTGGGACCGGGATTAACCAGAGTCACCCAGCTGACACCAGGTAGAGGTTGTCCGGCTAGCCAGCCTGTGTCTTGGTGTAGCATTGCAGCTTGTGTTTGTAAGC